AAGATTATAGACTGTGTATGAGTGTGTGTGTTTGTGTGTGTGTTTGTGTGTGTGTGCATGTGTGTGTGTGTGTGTGTGTGTGTGTGTGTGCTAGGGAGGTAAAAGAATGAGGATGGTTCAATCAAAAAAATAATGCAGAAACCAGAAAGCATGTTCAGGAAATCTGTGGTAATTGCTTTTAAAGAAGAGGAGGTCCTCAATGATAGATGGATTGAAAGTGCAATGTGACACTTAAGACCAGGAACTCTGCAGTTTGAATAGATCTAACACAGAGGATCAGCTTGTTCTTTTGAAAATGAGGATCTCAAGGATCCTTCAGAGAATTCAATGGGGTAAGCATTTAATGTAGGGTTTAATGTAGGGTCTAGCACATGAGTTACTCAATTGAGGTGAATTCCTGTTATCTTTAAATTTTTCATTTACTCTCATCTGGTGCTTTTTTTTTCCTTCGAAATTTTATTTTACCAAAGTACCATGAATTACAAAGTTACCCATAGCTGGATTTTTGACATAGAATATTCCATCACCGATCCCACCACCAGAGTCAACTCCCCTATGTCATTGCTCCCAGATTGCTTCTCCTACCCACCCACCCCAGCCCCAGCTTACCTTCTTGACGAGCACTTTTTAAGTTTGGTTATTAAAGTTTGTGTCTCAAAGTTGCAGTGTTGTTAACTCTGTGGTTTGGATATTTAGCTCTATCATTCATTAACATCACCAGTTTACCTCAGTCTCCTTGAGCCTTATCCCCATTGCTTCTCTTCTCTCTCTGCTCCCCTTCCCCTTCACTTCTATTTCTTTCCTTCTCTTCCCTGTACTCTGGAGCCAAAGATGATCTAGGTATGTTCCCATTAAACCATTGTATTCCCTTATCCAGGCTAACTTCAATTTTTAAATAAAATAGTTAGTTACTAATAAGTTCTTCTTTTGGAGATTTTAAAGATCTCTAGAACATCAAATTTTTAGATTTCTGAAATATAGTTAAGTTTTTCAAAGCATGCGGTCTACTATTGAACTACCCTGGACCGGAGAGATAGCACAGCGGGTAGGGCATTTGCCTTGTATGAGGCCGACCTGGGTTCAATTCCTCCGTCTCTCTCAGAGAGCCCAGCAAGCTACTGAGAGTATTCTGCCCCCATGGCAGAGCCTGGCAAGCTCCCTCTGGTGTGTATTCCATATGCCAAAAAGAGTAACAACAAGTCTCACAATAGAGATGTTACTGGCGCTCACTGGAGCAAATGGATGAACAATGGGAGTGCTATAATGTTACAGTTAAGTTTTGAAAGAGGTACAATTCATTTCAGTACATGACTTTCAGTAGTTCAGATATTAGGGGACAGCATAATAGTACAGTTGACAAGGATGCTTGCCTTGCATGTGGCAGACCAGAATCCATCCCTGGCACCTTATATGGCCCCCCAAGTCTCCCAAGAGTGACCCCTCAGTGCAGAGCCAGGAATAACCCCTAAGCACCTCCAGGAATGGGCCCCAAACCAAAATAAAGTGTTAAAAGATGGATTATATCAACAATAACAACAATCACACTAATACTTCTTGGACACTTAACTGCCTGTAGGCATTGTACTAATTGTTCAGTAAGGAAATTTTTTATTAAACTTATTTGATGTTAAAAAAAATTGAGACTTTGAGAAATTCTGTCTTCTCCCAGAACACAAAATTAGATGATGGGAAAGCCAGCTTCAGTTTCTAAATCAGATCTCTGATTTTAAGGTGAGATAATGTTTTCCAATGGACCCTAGTAAGTATTTCTTTAATCAACACCCAATGAATCTAAATTGTACCCTTTGGGGTGAACAAAACACAGTAATTTATGTCACAAAAAGGATTGCTAATAGATTTAGGGACAAAGTAACACATTCATTTACATTTTAAAAGAATGTTAATTGAGCACCTTCTAATTGTCTTTATGTAGTATAGACTTGAAAGAACAAAGTTTCTACTTTCAAGGTGTTATTAGTCTCTCCTTTTAAGTTGTGTGAAAAGATCCACCAAGTTTCTAAAAGTTTTCCTTTATTTATTTATTTTTGTTATTGGTGAGAGGCTTCATACCTGGCTGTGCTCAGAACTTAAGTCCTGGCTTAGTGCTCAGAGGTCTCTCTTGGCACTATGGCAGTGCCCAAAGGACCATATGCAGTGACAGGGGTCAACTGTGATCAACGCGGAAGGCAATTATCTTAATCTCTATACCTTCAACCTTCAACCCTAAGTGTCTCTTTTTATATAATCATACCCTTGTACTTCTAGAAAAAAAAAAAGGAACATTTTTCTATTGTTTTTTACTTCATTCATCATAGGACAAAGTTTCAATTCTTACCAATCTTGGTAGCCTCTCTAAACACATTTCACTTTATAAATATCTTTTTCAATGTAACCACAAGACACAAACACAAACATAGTAAGCACAAATAGAGTAATTCTCACGATGTCTGATAGGTCTTAAACACAAGACTATGGGCCTAAAATAGAGTCTGCTATGATAAGTCTTCTGCTAAAAAAAAATTAAGATTTAATTACATTATTCAGTTCTTCCCAGAAATGGAATCTGTTTTGTGTTGCTTTTTTTTCTCCTGAAGGTACCAGGAAGGAAAAGCCAGGTCTCCTGCGTACATGTCATCCACTTTACTTCCCCAGCCCTGAGATATTGAATTTTCAACCAATCAGAAATTACCTGATCAGCACTAATCATGTTCTCTGTATGATAGCAACCAATCTGCTTTTCTTGTTTAATGTACCATTCTTTTCCTGTTTCTTTGACCTATAATGGTATTTATGTAGAGTTCCTCAGAGCTCCTTTTCATCTGCTGGATTGGATGCTGCGCTATTAAAATGCATTGTTTTGCTGCAATAAGCTCTGACATGTTTTAATATGCTCCAGTTTATCTTTGAGTATGTCAGGTTTGAGAGGAGCTCAAAGGAGATTCTCAGAATTGCCCCCCCCCCCCTGAAAGAGCAAGAAGACATAGGTACCTGTTTAGCCTCTTGAGTTCATTGTTTTCTTGCTGCCTCTGGTGATTTGACTGAGTTTCTTCAGTTCCCAGTTCTTGCATTAAAAGCTTTCAGACATTATTTGAATATTGTTTTTTTTTTCCCAGACAGGTCTGGAAGTTACTCAGAATCAGGTTGGGTCAAACTAAGAAAGAGAACTAAATTTGTGACGGACTTGATCCAGTTTAAAAAACAGACGAGGTCTGATTTAAGTTGGGCTGTGTTCAGTGTAAGTCTTCAGGCTAATAAGTTCTTTTTAGGGGTCATATCTGGCAATACTCAGGGATTACTCCTGGGTCTGCACTTAGGAATTATTGTTGGTGGTGTTTGGGCACTACTTGGGTTGTGGGGAATTGAACCAGGATCGGCCACTTTCAAAGCAAATGCCCTGTCTTCTGTACTATTGCACGGGGCCCCAAATTTTTCAGACTGAACCAGGAGGTTAGCCTTATCTTTTGTTACTCGTTAATTGACAAAAATGTTACAGAGAACACGAGGATCATACAGAGTGGTCTGACTAGTCTAGGCCTTTTGGGTTGACCATGAGGTGTTAATACCCATTTTCTCTTAGTCATTGGTGGGTCTAAACTTAGGGGCAGAATTTTTGGTCTTCGGAAATTGCTAACCTCCTTGGAAGAGCCCAAGATTTTGCAGGGATGTTTAAAATGTGGAATAGAGATAGCTAAAATGTAACTAGCTGATCATAGCATCTGGCAAGGGCAAACGGAAGTTTCTTTTTTCAGTAACAGAATGAAGTCCTCTAGGATACCTTACTCCAAACCTTCAAATCAATTCATATATTCTCCCCTGAATCTGTTCTCCTAGTGACAAAGTGAAACCTAGCAAAAAATGAAAGTGAAATTTCACATTTTCCTTCTTTTCCAAATTTAGATTGGCAGGTAAAACCTGTTGTAAAAAACTAGATCTTTGAATTGTGAATTATGTGAATTTGCGTTTGGACACCAATCTTTGGTCTCCTGGGGACTGCTGACATCTTCTTATCTATCTCCTTTATGTTCTGAGAATTTGATTGGTGAAAGTCAGGTGTCAGGGCCCCCAAACAGAACTTAGCAGAAATTTGGATTGTCTTGGGTTTGTCTTTTCGTGGGTGGGGGTGGGAGATAATGGTGGGTTATTGTTTTGGATCCCCACCTGGTGGTGGTACTCAAAGGGTTGATACCCTGTTTAGTGTTTGTGGGCTGCTCCTAGAAGTGCTCTGGGAATCATATAGTGAACCCAGTTTCAGCTATCTTTGAGCTATCTTTTCGTGTCTTTTAACAAATGGGGGGCCGGGGAGCAAGCGGGAGGGGGAAATTAAAGACAGGCAATGTATTATTCCTGCCTATCATCTCCAAATCTATTCTTTATACACTTGGAATATGGTCAACTAAACATGACAATTTGTAGCTTTCAATGGTTTAAATTGTTTAATTTGACAAAGTTCTTAAATATTAGGAATGTCCTTAAAGTGTCCTCTAACATGATTTTTGGAAGCCATTTTGCATCCTTGATTTTTGTTAATATATTATCCGGTGAACTGTTATGTGCTTGAGTTGCCTGGCAGACCATAGCATCCTCTAGTGGTCAGACTGCAATATCAAGACATGTCCAGTTTGTATTTCACAAGCAATTAACCTGCCTTTATATCAGGCAACCGTGTTCGGCAAGTGCAGGGCAGATTTTGATTGGTTGTGTCTAGTTGATTGGGTGAGTGATTTATTTTCCACTATGGATCAGGGAATCTGAAGCATCTCAGGCTTTTTCTGTCTGCAGTCTAATTCTTTATTCTAAGGCTAGTTCTTCATATGAGCTCAAACCTTAGGATACCTTTTCTTTTAGAAAACATCCTTATTTCTATCTAATTGCTGTTATGAAATATAAACACAGGGATTTTGTTTAAAAAAAGTCTGAGTTTGCCTCAGGCCTCTGGTCCCAGAATTAAAATATATTTTGAATAAAAATCATAAGATAAGAATAAGAAATATATTTATATAAATTTTATTCAATAATCAAGCCAGCAAGAAATCCTGGTTACATGACAGGATTTCAAACCCTTGATCCTCAGCAAGGCCCAGACTTTTTAATGAGGACAGGAATCTGGCGCTTCCTGTAGAAGAAAATGGAAAAAGCAAATGAACATTTGTTGACAAAATATAATGATAATGGGAGGTAAATACTGCAAAAAAAGTTGAGTTTTATCAGAATCTTGTGATTTTTTCCAAGTTCTCTTTTCATTTAATTGTTACATAATTATACCAAAAACATTGAAAACTATTAAAGCATACTAGGAATATAACAAAAAGGGAAAGTTTGATATTACAGTTTAGAGATATAGTGGGGTTTCTGAAGTTGATCTCTCAAACCATTGCTTCTTTTACTCCTTGTGTCATTCTTCAACCACCTGATATTTTCATTTTAGCTTTGCTTGGGATATTGCAGAAGTTTCTAATTGATTGATTTTATTTTATTTCTTTGCAGTAGAACAGAGAGGGTCTATTGAAATTTACATAAAGCTGAATAATATTAAAAATTCAGCTTCTCAGTTATAGCAGCTACATTTTAAATGTCAGTAGTTAGCGCTTTCCATATCGAACAACACAGATACAGAGCATTTACTTCATTACAGAAAGTTCTACCAGAGAGTGGTAATTTATAGTAAAGAATCTGCAAGCATCGATTCCTTCAGAAGATGTAGAACAAAATGGGGGGATGGGGTGGGTGGAAAATGTTTGAACTGAATATATATGCCTGGAACATAATGGAAGTTGTAAGCTCTTGTTGGTCTGTTCATCTCAAAACCCAGAATTCAAGATGTTTAGTTTGGGGCTTTTAACTGGCTTCAGAAAGGAAGGCAGCATTTAACAATAATTGTTTTTGAGAAGCACATTTTCTTTCTATATTTTTATTTCTCCTGAAAAATATGTAGAAAGCAAAGTTAAACTTCCTGGCTTTCAAATGTTTTCTCCCATATTTATATTTTTGAAACAATAGAATGATCAAGTAGGAAATAGTAGGCTTTAAAAACTAAGGAAATTGGGAGATCCAGCTCTATGCTGGTATTCCCCCAGTGTTTTACTCTAAATATTCAGCTTTTTGGTTTCAACAGTTGGAAGATTCCCAAGTCTCATAACTAGTCTATGGTTTTTTTCCCTCCCCTTGGATGGCAATTTGATGTTTAACCTTAATGTCAACAACATAGGTCATGAGAAAATTAACAAGTGGTTTCAAGTTCCTTTTACAAATCTTTAATTTGGAAATAAATTCAACACCATGTAGAAAAAAAAAAAACCATGTCTTGGCTCTAAGAGATCAATATATTAGCTCTCTATCCCATGATAATTTCCTCAATCTTTGTTAAGGTAAAGGTAAGGTAAAGGCCCTCCCGTTGATCGTCGATTTGCTCGAGCGGGCCCAGTAACGTCTCCATTGGAGACTTTGTTGTTACTGTGTTTGGCATATCGAATACTCTCGGTAGCTTGCCGGGCTCTCCGAGAGGGGCGGAGGAATCGAACTCGGGTCGGCCATGTTGGCTGCTTGTAAGGCGAACGCCCTACCGCTGTGCTATCGCTCCAGCCCCCCTTAAGCTTTGATAATTTTCTCAAATGATTTAAAGCAGTTTGGGAAGAGGATTTGTGTTACATGGAATTTATACAGTGAAATAAAGCAAATCTGAGCCTAAATCATAGTCCTTAAAACCAAATCAGCTGCCAAATAAGTTTTCTGGATCACTTATATCATGTCCTTTGGTCGTTTACATCTTTATTTAGTGAGGAGTGCTTGTGCACAGCTACCAAATTCAGAGCCCTATTTAAATGATTCTTTTTTTCACTCCTATAGCAAATTCATCACACTTTATTTGATGGCATTTGTCACAAGTTATAAGAAGCTCACTCTCCTATTTGTGCTCATGACCTATTTTTCTCTAAAGGAAAGTAAGCACAAGGAAAGCAGAGGAAACAAACATAATACTTGGAACATGTTAAATACTTAATAGGTGAGTAATATAGACAATCTGTACAGATGTATTTATCTAAATGCCTCAGTATGATTCTTAGAAAATACGAAGTCACTTCAGAAAATGAGCCATAAAGATTTGCTCTCATATTTATGAATATATATTACAAAATAAATGTTTGGTTATTCAAACTATGAAATTCATATTTGCATATTTTAGTTGTAAACTAAATTATTACTCTCACCAAAAATTATTTTGTAATTTGAAGGCATTTTACATGAGCTTTTAAAAAATCTGGACTACATACTGTTTTTCTGGATTTTTATTTTTTTATTTTATTTTTAAAAGTTTTTATTAGTGAAACACCATGAGATACAGTTGTAGACTTATAAATTTTTGTGCTTGGATTTCAATTATACAATGATGGAGTACCCATCCCTCCACCAGTTCCCATTTTCCACCACCACTGATCCTAGTATCCCTCTCACCACCCCCAATCCCTCCCATCCCACCCTGCCGCTGTGGCAGGGCATTCCCTTTTGTTCTCTCTCTCCTTTTGGGTGCTGTGGTTTGCAAAAGAGGCATTGAGTGGCAGTCATGTTCGGTCTATAGTCTATTTTCATTTGCTGGATTTTTAATCATACACATTTTAATTTATATTACTTGAGAAAAATATTAAAATAAATTTGTATCTCTATTTTATTGTTCTTTCCCTAACACAACTTATGTTGCACTGTTATCGATTTCATTCCCACTTTTGCTGACTTTTTTTGGTTGAAATGCTTATTTCTCCTTTGTTACCTAGTCAAAGCCTTCAAAATTCCAAGTTCTAGGAGGCATAATTATATTTTATTGTATTATTGTTGTTGTTCCTTTTGTACAACTGACTATATTCAGGTCTTAGTCCTGGCTCTGCTATCAGGGATATTTCCAGTGGGCTCAAGAGACTACATGTGGTTCTGGGGACTGAACCAGGGGTTGGCCATATACCAGGAAAGTACTCTACTGACAGTACCATCTCTCTGGCTTTATAATGAGCCATTTTTAATTGCATTCTCAAAACATTGTGTTCATGGTTCCATTGAACAATCCCAAGCTAGAATTTAGTAGCAGAGAGTAGAGTGAGTGACAGTGTATGATGAATTTTCTTCTATAACTCCACAGTCTAATACTTGAGCATTATGCAAAGAACAGAATTTCATCTCACCAAGTGATTTTAGCAAGTTATTTAGGCTTTCTTATTAAAACCAGGCTTCAATTTCTTCATGTGTACATAGGCTTGGTATATTTACCTCATGCACTCTTTGTAAATACTTAATGCCTTGCACAACACTTGACACAATATTTTATATTATTGGTAAAAAATAGAAACAAAGCTTTTATAAAATTAGAACTCATATATACTATGGACGAAAAATAATTGAGAATTATTTTTGGAAACATTAGAGGCTTGTTTCTTTCATGGTAGGCTCATGTTGTTGGTACTTGAGTTGTGGCTTTAGAGGGATAAGATATAAGAAATTGAAGATAACTAGCTTACATTTATTTTGTGAAATTTAAATATTGTGTAGAAATTCAAGTTTGTACTTACTTATTTTCAAGACATAACTGGCATTCATTAGGATAAGTAGTTTCATCGGTCCCGCAGACTGGGTTATAGATCTTGGTACATCCTCCAATTTCACTACCGCATTTAGCCTAAAAATGACATTAAACAGAATTATGAAAGGAAGAAGAATCCTCTGATTTTAAAACTCAAAGAAATCTTTATTATTTTTTAAAGACAGGAAAGGGGAAAACCAAGATATATAGAACTTTTCTAGTTTATTCATTTCTTTTCTTTCTTTGTTTTCTTTCTTCCCTCCCTCCCACCTTGAGATTGGGAGAACTCTGTCAAGCTGGCTAACCTAGCAGTTATAAAAAATCTACTTTGAGTGAAATTGGAAAGACTGGCTTTATAATGAACAGTTTTTAATTGCATTCTCAAAACATTGTGTTCATGGTTCCATTGAACAATCCCATGCTAGACTTTAGTAGCAGAAAGTAAAGTGAGTGACAGTGTATGATGAATTTTCTTCTCTAACTCCACTTCTCTACTCCTGCCAGGTAGACTCATTCTACATAAAAATGCCTTCAAATCTTTGATAAAGGTGCAAGTAATGTGAAGTGGAGTAAGGAAAGCCTCTTTAATAAATTGTGTTGGCATCACTGGACGGCTACATGCAAAAAAATAGGCTCAGAACTCTGCCTAACACCATGTACAAAAGTAAGACCAAAATGGATTAAAGACCTCAACATCAGACCAGAAACCATAAGGTACATTGAAGATAAAGTTGGCAAAACCCTCCATGACATTGAAGCTAATGGTATCTTCAAAGATGCCACGCCACTGGCCAAGCAAGTGAAAACAGAGATAGACAAATGGGACTATCTTAAACTAAGAAGCTTCTGCACCTCCAAAGAAACAGTGACCAAAATACAAAGACAGTCTACAGAATGGGAAAGGATATTCACCGAATACACATCTGACAAGGGGTTGATATCCAGGATATACAAAATACTGGTTAAACTCCACAAGAAGAAAACATCCAACCCCATCCAAAAATGGGGCAATGAAATGAACAGAAACTTTCTCAAAGAAGAAATCCGAATGGCAAAAAAGCACATGAGAAAATGCTCTACATCATTAATCATCAGGGAGATGCAGATCAAAACCACAATGAGATACCATCTCACACCTCAGAGACTGGCCCACATTCAAAAGAACAAAAGCAACCGATGCTGGCGTGGTTGTGGCGAGAAAGGGACACTCCTTCACTGTTGGTGGGAATGCCGACTGGTTCAGCCCTTCTGGAAAACAGTATGGACGATTCTCAAAAAATTAGAAATTGAGCTCCCATTTGACCCAGCAATACCACTCCTGGGAATATATCCCAGAGAGGCAAAAATGTATAGTCGAAGTGACATCTGCACTTGTTTGTTCATTGCAGCCCTCTTTACAATAGCCAGACACTGGAAGAAACCTGAATGCCCAAGAACAGATGACTGGTTAAAGAAACTTTGGTACATCTACACAATGGAGTACTATGTAGCTCTTAGAAAAGATGAAGTCATGAACTTTACATACAAGTGGTACAATATGGAAAGTATCATGCTAAGCGAAATGAGTCAGAAAGAGAGGGATAGACATAGAAAGATTGCATTCATCTGGGGGATATAAAGTAACAAAGTATGAGATTAATACCCAAGAATAGCTGAGATCAGCACCAGGAGGATTACTCCATAACTTAGAGGCCAGCCGGGTATCCTAGAGGAAAGGGCTATTCAGATAGAGAAGGGAGCACCAAATAAAGGATGTTTGGAGGATCCTCCCAGGAGGGGAGATGCATGTCGAAAGTAGACTATGGACTGAACATGTTTGCCACTCAATGCCTCTTTTGCAGACCACAACACCCAAAAGGAGAGAGAGAACACAGGGGATTGCCCTGCCACAGAGACGGGGGGATGGGGGGATGGGGGTGGGAGGGATATTATCCATGGTGGTGGAAAATGGGCACTGGTGGAGGGATGGGTATCTGATCATTGTATAATTGAAACCAAAGCACAAAAAATTGTAAATCTACAACTTTAAAAAAATAAAATAAAATAAAGGGGAAAAAAAAATGCCTTCACAGTGCTATATAGCTACTAGAAAACACCTGCAAGTCTCTGAATTTTCCTTCAAAGAAAGTGCTTGTGGGACAACCACTATTACTATCTGCATTTAAAGAGGTTAACTCTTGCTAGCATTCATATTCTTTGTTTTGACTTCAGGCTAAACTGAAAGACAAAATACTGCACACTGGGGGCTGAAGCGATAGCACAGCGGGTAGGACATTTGCCTTGCACGCAGCTGACCTGGGTTGATTCCCACAACCCATATGGTCCCCGGAGCACCACCAGGAGTAATTCCTGAGTGCATGAACCAGGAGTAACCCCTGTGCATCGCCGGGTCTGACCCCCCAAAAAAAGCAAAACAAAAAATACTGCACACTTGCTGGAGTAAACTGTTCCAGTCTGAGAGATAAGAAATTATACAATTATCTTTACCTCTCTTCCCAGGGATTCAGCATCTGTATTACCTACAAAACACAAATCAGAAATATTAAAATTGGGTCCTGAGTAGTTTTGGGACCACACTTGGTTATACTTGGCCCTTATTCCTGACTCTGCACTTTTAATTACTCCTGTTGGGAGTTGGGGGACTATATGGGGTGCTGGGGATTGAACTTAGGTAGTCCACATTCAAGGCAAGCACCCTACTTGCTGTACTACCACTCCGGTCTCTCCAGATATATTCTTAATAGGTTCAATTCACTTTCTTGAATTTACAACAATATACTTTGAATTGTAATACTGCATTTTCCAGAATAGAAGGTTTTGTTAATATTACATATAGGATAGAAATTATGAATGAACTGATTGAGGGAAAGAAAATAATCTGAGCAGCCAAAGAATAAAATATTCATCTGGTTTAATTTTGACATTAATAAACCCTGAGGTGATGTAGGTAGGAGGTGGTTTTCCTAGGATAAATGTGATAATTAATGAAATGAGAGAATTCTTGAAGCTGTCAAAAACGATGCCACTGGGGTTATTTAATTTAATTAAATTAAATTTGGGAATTTAATTGAATTTAAAATTGATGAGGTATCTTAGCATTCCATGTGTATAATCATAAATCTTGGGAAGGGGATAAGGGATTACTTCTCCCCTAAACATTTAACAAATATAAACATTTAACAGGACATTATTCTTCTTAGTAAAGTGCTCACTTGGCTTTTAGTAGTACTTTGTTAGATCTGACAGGAAGTTGGAAATGCTATTTTTAATGATCAAAAGAAAGTTGATTCCAATAACGTGGTTTTCAAAAAGGTAGAAGTTTGTGTATATACTCATGACATCTTTTCAAGTCAAATACTTTCTGTTTAAATATCTGGCAGTTCAAAATAACAATCTCTTAATCAGTACTGCTTTACCCTTTATACGGAACAACTGGAAGCCATTGTTAAACATTATATGAAGTTCCTTCATCAAGGGTCTGCTTCTGACTAGAGGAAAACTATCCCAACACCTAATAGTTCTCACTAGTTGGTGAGGATTGTTTTCCTTGTGCTTTGTTAGAGTCTCTATTACTATAATTCTCATCCATTGATTTTATTTCAGGTTATTGGGACAAGAAGATCTGTTCGAGACTAGACTCAACTTGATTGTGATGTGTTCAGTAAAATAGTGGACAAAAGTGCTTTACCAGCTCAAGAGTATGAAGTGTTAAATTCAACTTCAGTTCCTGAGCTTGGCTCCTGGCATTGTCTCTGTGGCCCTTGTGGCCCACAACACCACTGGGTTCAAGCAGCGTCACTAAAACCAAACCATTAAACTCCTGTAGGTTGTCTAAGAATCTCTGGAAGTGGTCCCCTTCTGCTGAGCATTATTTGGGAATCATCCACCCTTTACCACCCCCCATGCAAGAATATATTTTGCTTATATCAAAAAATACGTAAAGATACTTACCAGCTAAACATAAAATGGCCAAGGCACTCAAAAGGAAAATGCTTGTTACCTTCATGACTGAAGTTCTATGTCCAGAGTGCCTCTGAAAACTGCACTGAGCTTATCACTTCTCTTCAAATCTCAGGGACTACAAGGGTCATATAGGCCAAGGAAGGCAGCTAGGCTCCACCTGCTGCCCTGTATCATACATCTCCTTGGTTACTCATTGACTCATTAGGTAGCCTGGCTCTTAGGTTTTGGGAAGGTAAGAAGTGAAAGTTGTGCCATGGTCTAAAATATACTAGGCCATGAGTCAGTCAGGAGAAGTTCTGACTATTTTGGTTCTCTCCCCAACTTCTCTATGAATATCAGAACTCCTTTATCAAAGCGTGTTTTTCAGACCTACTGAGTGGACTGAGAGATCCCTTTTACTCTTTAATTGCAGATATATTAGGATAAGTTGATATATATAATTAATTATATATTACACATGTCATTTAATATGTGTATAGCATAAGTATAGCTATTTTATTATGCATTTTTATTGCGTACATATATTTATATAATTATAAGTAATATATAATGTACATAGCTCAAACCTTTATTGTTATCTTTCCTTTTCTCAAACTTTTCCTTATTTTATTGTCCCTTTTTCTGTAAAATATTCACAAATACTGGGGGTTAAGTTAGAGACAGGTTTCTGTTGCATAAACCGTGTGTGTGTTCTGAATTGGTCTGTGCTTATTCGATTCCTGTCTCCTGTGTTTGTTTATTTTGCATGCTCATGGTCTTGGGTGCTGGATGAATCTCACAGCGAGCCTAAGCATGAGTCACTCAGCTGGCTGCTCCTAATCTCAAGTCTCAGGTTCCCCTCCCCAGCCCCAGTCCATAGGTGTGGGTTTGACCCCTCCACCCAGGCTCTTAGATGCCAAGTTAAGGAGATTTGAATGGTGACAAATATTAGATTCCATCTGAGCAAACTATTCTGTCCCCCCAACTTTATTTAAACTCTACCGCTTAAAAAGTTGTTCACAATATAGTTGTTAGGGGGATTCAATGTTACAAACCAGTTCCACCACCAGAGTGACCTTCCCTCCACCATTGCCTGGTTTTCCCAACCACTCTCCAAGCCTGCCTTTTTAGCAGGCACAAAATAATTTATTTTATATTGTTTGTTGCAATTAAATGTCTAATGGAATTATCAAAAAATACTACAGTAAAAGAAAACTTGTCAAAATTGTTATATCTCAACACAGGGTCATTAAGTCCTTGTCTGAGGGTTTACTAAACTGTTACTAATTGAGCCTTCTGTGTTATTGTTTGATTTGAGTTTAGTTGACTTCTATGTTTCTTTCCCATTGACTTTGTTGTGCCCTTACAGAGTTGTCAATATTGTGGAGTGAAGTGTGGATACACTTGGGAACTACAGGATCTGCCTGCCCAGATCTACAAACCTATGGCAAAATTCTGGAAGAGATGTAAACCAAGCCACTAAAATTCTTGATACATCAGTCTCCTGCCTGAAAACTCTGAGGCACCCTGGGGAGGGGAAGCCTTATTTTAAGTAGGAAAAAAAGAAGTTTTATGTATACTCAAAATAACCTGAGATTTTTCTATTTTGGTGTGAACCGTTGTTTAAATATATATTAAACCCATGTGTTTTAATAAATACAACACTAAAATAAAGCCCCCATTTATGTGGGGTATATTCCTATAGGACTCCAGGGAACCAGATGCTGAGTGTGGGAGCCCTGATGTTGAGTTATGAACCTTTGCCAGCAATTATCAAGCCTCTGGTATCAGATCCTCCAGAACAGATTCATGGGCCCCACCTTCTGACCCCAACCACAGCATCATCTTCCTAATGCCAGTGGCTTACCAAAAGTTGTCAGAGACAAGGAGTGTGTGTGTGTGTGTGTGTGTATGTGTGTGTGTGTGTGTGAAAGAGAGAGAGAGAGAGAGAGAGAGAGAGAGAGAGAGAGAGAGAGAGGAGAGAGTTTCCTTTGGTGTTTAGACTCTCACTCATGCAAAGCATATATTCCAAGTCAGATCATGATGCAGAACTCTGTACTGTGGAGGTCTGAGTAGCAATGTGGTCAGACCCTCTCTGGTCCTGTTGTCCTTTAGGATGATGGAACTTGTCTGGATTATCATAAGGAAAGTGGAAGATGAAGCAAGAATAGAGCCTATGGTAAAACCCTGAAAAAAAATAAGATTTACTCATTAGATAGAGGGAAAAGGAAAAATATCAAAAAGAAAAAGATGATATGGCAGTGGAGAAGGTATGAAGAAAAGAGACAAATGAGGAGCTAAGGGCCCCAGGGAAAAATATTCTATGGAGTGTACCCATTTTTTGGTGTGAAAAAGTAGAGGCTCTGTGCACTGAAAAATATGTCCTTGGGTTTAAGCAACCTGAATTGATGGCCTCAGTTAGAGGAAGTTCCAAACCACAGTAAAAAATGGAGAAGCGTAAATGAAAGTTGAGTAAGGGACCCCCGTACACAAATGATTTCAACAGTGTGTTTTGGGTTATTTAATAAAAAGAATTTTTCTTTGGTCTTGCAGTTTGAGGAGGTGGGGATTTGCTGAGATTTTGCCATAACTCTCTAAGTAATAACACCAACCGCAATAACATTCAGGTTTAGTACTGTCAGATGGTAAAGACTGGGATCTTCCTGGCTTTAATAAACCTTGAGTTACATCCTACTAAATGTACAAATATACAAGCAAAATTATTAAATAGAAAAAGATAGTACTATCATATGTGATAACTTGATTTCTTTTATTCCATTCTGACTTACACCTTAAAAATATTTCTCTACAGATATGCTCTGGACCACCTATGATCTTATTTTCTTTCAATCACTACAAAACTAGAATATAATTCTCCATAGAAACTGACCCAAATTTGTGATGGGGCATGGTCTTTGAAGGCAGCAAGTTAAAGAGACAGACCTGGTTCTAATTATAAATCTGCCATTTTCACACTATTCCAAATTAGTATGAAAATAAACTTAGAAAAATTAATTAATGTGGTACAAAAATTTATCTTCCCTTTCCCTTGAAATAATAATTTCCATCTGGTAATAATCTCACTTTCTTCCGGAACTGGAATAATATATTCAAGTTTTTTTGTGATCAATGTCTTGACAGATTGTTGTTTGCCCTGGGGATAGGATGCGCATTGATTGAAACAACTCCTCTACTGTACTGGTCTGCTAGTCATATTTAAATGTGTTCGCATGACCTAAGCTTGTGTAAATATCCCCTTCCTTCTTTACCTCTCTGGGTACGTATCAGTGCACATATATCATCGGGAACTTAAGCAAACAGACTATGACCTATTACACTCCTTCTCAAGGACTAATTACTCACCTGAATAAAGAATTATGACAAAACTTAAGAGAACTGTTCTGGAATGGGGATGTTGGTCACATCTGTTGATTTTCACATCCTGTACCCAAGGTTTGACTAATAAGAAAGAAAAATGACGGAAACAAGAGATATAGAGCATAATATATTTAGCCTGACATTTGAAGCCTATGTTGACCTCGCTGCTTCTCACCTTTTTCAGCCTAGTTTTTTTTTAATTTTTCAGAGTTTTATGGCTTTTATTCAATTATTCTTTTTCATTAGGGATAATTCATTTTTCTTAGAAATCACTAACAAATTACTTAGTAGGAACTATTAACTTTCCCCAAAAGTTCCAATGGTATTAATTCTTAATTCCATCCTTCTCAGAAGCCTGGATAAAATACACATGGTCCACAGCTACAACATGCTGATATTTTTTAAAAGTTTCTCTCCCTCTGACCCATTTTACTAATCATGATTCTCTCCATGTCAGTTCACTTATACTTGAATTTCATGACTTCATTTTTCCTGGAGACAGCATATATTGTAGAAAACTTTCTGCATCTTATTCTCTTATGGCTAAGTTTTTTCAGTTACCAAATGGAACTTTTGATAGAATGTATTTTTAATCTATAACTTCTACTTACCTTAATCAGATACATTAATTTGTTAACTCATGCTTATAATGACAATCTACAACATCTTTCTATGCTCTTCACTAATGTTTACTGATTTTATAGAGAGATACATTGCTGTGATGGAGAAAAAAAATTCTACTCTGACTTACCTATCAGATGGCTTTGGTCTCATTAAAATAGGTCTTTAGCTGTACCATGAAGACCTTAACAGAGTTGAAACATTATTCTCTTTGGCCTTTGTTTTTTGGTAATGTTGGTGTTAAGGTGGGAGTTTATTCAGACACTATTCCTGGCATGGTGCTGAGGTGACCATGCAATGCTGTGAATCAAACACAGGGCTCGTGAATGCAAAGAACCCTGGCTTCTGGACTTGCTTTTGGAATAGAGAATGTTAAAGATAGTAAAGATAAGCACTTCCCATCTAAGTCTGAGTGTTATGCTAAGCTTAGATGCTTTTCAAATATTTCAATCAGCTGTTTTGTTAATTATCACTAAGAACATCTAGGTGTGGCCCAAAAATCAAAAAGTGAAAAATCAGGAGTTTTCATATTAAAAATTACATATTGCAAATATGCCTGCAGCTCTTACTCCCATTTCAGTTTTACAGATTTAAAATCTTTAATTTATTTAACCACTGGAAAGTCAAGAATCATAGAGCCTCTGAAAAACTTTGCATCATTTAACAAATCAAACACAAATGATAAGTATTTACTATGGTGGTACTAGCAAGTGAAAACAACTTGAGACAGCAGTAGTTATGAATAAATGATTGCCGAGAGAGTTCAGAAAGAACTGTTGGAACCCAGAGGGAAATTTCTGTCAGCATTGAGAATCTAAGAATATTTACACTTAAAAGTCTTTAATAAAGCACTTTTTAGTATCATATGACCTCCTCTGCACCTTTGCCCTGACTGCTCCCATTGATGTACCCCTTTCACCATTCCTTTGCAAACCTTCATTTATTATACTTAGAAATTTTTAGATATAGATTGATATAGAACTACATATTGATATAGAACTACATATGGTACTCTGCAGGGCAGAAAGAATTGCTCTCCTAGCTGTGTCAACCATACTTATGCATGCTTCCAATATAA